AATGGGAACACATAAAAAGTGCTTAACTTCAGCAGAGGTGTAAGTATTTTCCTGAATCGGAATGCTTCAGAGAATGGTGTAAAGCACACCTTATTGATCATGAATTTCACTGGCTGTATACCACTGATGGGTTATTGATTATGATTGAATTGGGTTTTTGCCACTGTCTGTTGTGTTGTATTCTGTGTCATGTGCCAACATGCCATAGAGCTGTGCACACAGTAGTAATTAAAGTAGATAAATTTTCAAATCAAATATTTGAAAATGACTTTCCTGCATAATTTTGAGTTCAGGATTCCATCTTTCCCTTTTCACAGCTGACAACATCATAATCACCTAAAGCAAGTCCAGTGTATATACACAACTCCTTGCTTAGTTTTAGGTGTTTGTGATATGTTTTTAACTGTTGCAGGTGAAATACAGAATACTGAATGCAAGCCAAGCCATAGGAGTAAATTACTAATGATGTTAGCTGAAATAATTTATATGTATGAGACTATTTACATACATAGTCAATAGGGAACTGTCTGGTTATTAGAGGCGCTTGTTTAAAAAACATTTTAGAGCTCAAATGAAAAAATATATCAATCCAGCATGACATCTAGACCTGAACTTTATATCCATAGACCGATTAATGGATTACTTTACATTTACCCCGATACAGTTTTTTCCATCCATGGCATGCATGCCAAATTTTCAAAAGTGCGCTTTTGCATGTGCATTTTGAGCACTTGAGCCATAATGTAGGTAATATTTTTCATGTAATAAGAAATCCATGTATAACTTAATCTAATTGAAAACATACACAAAGACAATTTAGGAAAAGGGCAGTTTATTCATATAATTGTGTAAGATCTACAAGAACAACCATTCTAGAAAAGGGTTAGCAGTTTAAATTCTCAGGTTAAACATGATGCAGTTAAAGAAAACTTGCCCTCATATCCTGCATAGGCTTCATAAATGCATACCAGGGAGCTCCAAATTGAGTACAAGAAAACAAACAAGTCTCAACTATTTCCTCTTTTTAACTTGACCACTTAAATATTGAAACCTTTCTTGTTCAGATGTTAAACTCTTAAGTGTCCAAAGTCAATCACTTCTTAGTTTTTTTTTTTTAAATCATGAAATACTTGAATTAGATTTTTCTTTTGTTTTAGAAAAAGAAAAATTGTTCCATAATTATAATGCTGGAAAAGGTTAATAGAAAAATTATGAAAACATAGCATCCCAAAAATAATGTGAAATTGTTCGCCTAAACTTAATCATCATTTATTTATGCACCTACAGCCAATTGCTGTAATGATCTTTAACACAATGATATTGGAATTTGAAAATTTAAACCTTATTTACCAAATTTGGGTGCTGGCAGTTAGGCATCTAAATCAATAGTTGGGCACCTAAATCAGTGGCCTGATTTTCAGAGTGATAAATAAAGATTCATAGAGTCACAGATTCTAAGGCCAGAGGGACCACTGTGATAATCTAATCTGACCTCCGGTATAACACAAGCCAAAGAATTTCCCCAAAATAGTTCATAGAGCGGATTTTTTAGAAAAACATCCAATCTTGATTTAAAAGTCATCAGTGATGAAGAATCCATCATGACCCTCAGTGAATTGTTCCAATGGTTAATTACCCCCACTGTCAAAAATGTACCCCTTATTTCCAATCTGAATTTGTCCAGCTTCAGCTTCCACCCATTGGTCCATTATATTTATTCTCCATGTAAATATGTACAGACTGTATCAAGTCACCCCTTAACCGTCTCTTTGTTCAGCTAAATAGATTGAGCTCTTAATCATTCTTGTGGCTCTTTTCTGAACCCTCTCTCATCTATCAACATCCTTCTTGACCTGTAGGCACCAGATTCAAGCACCCAATTTAAAAAAGTTGGCGTATGTCATGAAGATTATGGATGGTTTTATATCATGATTTAATGCTGAAAATACACTGATTTCTATGTTATATAGAACAGTCAATAAGAATTTTTAAAAATGCAGCCATCATCCCCCACCTATTCAGTTCCCTGAATGAAGTTTATTCAGTGGAATCATTTACAGTATTCTTATAACAAAAAGCTAACTGCTGTAGAGTTTTAAAAGTTTCTATTGTGTGCATACTGTGAATACACAGAGGAAGTGACAGGAGACTTCAAGATACAGACAATCTTTGTGCAAAATGTCATTAGAAATTGATTTAACCTTCTGGATGCTGTGGGCATCCTATTCAGTCATTTGACAGTTAGGTTGGAAAGCATCTGCATCCTAATTTTATAAATGTACTAAATCATTCAGAACAATGTCCTGCTTTGCCAGGTACTGAATCTAAGGCCTGGTCTACACTACTGGGGTTAGTCAACCTTAGTTACACTACTCCAGCTTTGTCAATAACGTAGCTGGAGTCAACGTAGCTTAGGCTGACTTGCTGTGATGTCTACACCACGCGTTTATGGGAGAGGCTCTCCCATCAACTTATCTTACTCCTCTTGTTCCGGTGGAGTATCGGAGTCGATTGGAGAGCGTTCTCTAGGGGATTTACCGGATCTTCACTTGACCCGCTAAATTGAACCCTGCTGCATCAATCGCAGCAGCATCAATCCCCGGGGGTAAGTGTAGACATGGCCTAACGTTAATTATTAGGAAAAGTTAGGTATTACAAACAAAAAGGTGGAGTAGAGACTCAATACAGAGAACAACATTCATATAAAGATGCAACAGAAGTGTTCTGTTGGGTTTATAAAAACAATTACTCCCTCAACTCTTCCAGCCAGCCAGTTAATGACTAGGAAGTGCCCTCCCTTTTGCCCATTATTGCTTGATTATATTTTACTTCTTCAAATAAAAAAGGCTGCCCCTGTGATTTTCCAAGCTGTCTAGGGGATTTGGATGCCCAGTTCCAGTTAATTGTTTGACCATATCCTGCAGGCATCTTTGAAAAATCTCAGCCTTTGCCTACTCTAGGCCAACCTTTTTATTTCTCTCATAATCTCCTAACGTTGGTGCTGGTAGCAGCAGCGCTGCTTTACCACTGCTAGTGGCGGTGAGAATGCTCGTGCGGGCTGGATGCTGGCATTTCCCCCACCATGTTCTGTAATGCTGCTCAGCACAGAGTTAGAGGAGATGGGTGGGGGAAAAAAAAAAAAATCAACAGCCAGTCTGCGCTAGTGCTCTGTCTAGCAGTTACCTCAGTGAAGTTGCACAAATATTACAGCAACGATGAGAGATTTTAAGTAAAAACTCTGTGTAGTCAATGCTCGAGTGGTTCAGTTAACCAAAGTACCCAATTTAAACTTTTGCCCAAAAGTTCATGCAAACATTTTGAGTGGTTCAGAAGAGTTCAGGGTACATCTGGCCTGCCGAAAAGCTGAAAATATTGAAAATTTCACAAAAAAGTTTATTCTCATAAAGGTTTTCAGAGCAAATACTCTGATTCTAGCAGTCTGTATGAACCCCCATCTGGTTTAGGTCACATTGTTTCAGCTGATGGAGGAGCTATTTGGAGACATTGTTGGTTGGTTCACTTCCCCTCATATTTGCCACTAGCATTTTTAGGGGAGTAAATAGTTTCTGCCCCACCATTCTACAAACAGCAGAATCTGGAAATGGTCCTTTAATTCTGCTAGTGCCGCATATGGTATTTATGTCTTTACCTCATTCTTGGGCTAAACTGCCCCAAATTTATCAGAGAAATAGGGAATTCCCAGAACAAGCCATACAAAAGATCATCAGACTTGTCTTTACTATTTACCCCCTCAGATGTGTTGTTACTGGTGGACTCTTCCAATTATCTACATTAGCATTATTTTATGTACAGTGGAAATGTTAATAAACTCATTTGTAATACCTACTGGAGCAATTAGGAAAAGCTGCATAGTCACTGTTTTGATAGGCAGAATACAAGCACAAGCCTTTTGCTACTTACCCTTCATTAACATTCATTTTCTGATGATAGCAAATAAACCTTACAGCTTAAATATCAAGGGCATTTGTTTACTCCATTCTCATACAAATGGTAATAAGTAGCAGCAAGTAAAGATAGGAACAAATAAGAATACTGAATTAAAAAATGGCATATTCACTAACTTGTACCTTTAGTAATTCTGTTTTGGGACCCAGTGATCTCCCATCAGGGCTTAAAATGAGTTGTAACTTTCCCCTAATCTCCCTTATCCTCCCAGCTCACATCTCTTCCTCCTTCCAGGATTTGCTAAGGTCTTTCAGAATGCTGATAGGTGTGCGGTGGAGGCAACATATCCAGCTACCCTTCTACTGGTTGTTGATGCTGCATGTGTGTTCTAAAGCAGTATTTCTCAACCTTTCTGATACTAGGGATCAGCTTGCTGCATTCTTAAACTGTGTCAGAGAGATCTCAGGGACTGGCACAGGTCCACAGACCGCTAGTTGAGAAACACTGTTCTGGAGACAGCAAAGCACTCCAATATGCAATGTTGTATACTTCCCCAGAAGAGACAATGTGTGTAAGTTCTACTTCTGGGGTACAGAAGGAAAGTTTTCAGATCTGAGGGATCACTTAGTGGGGACCCTAAAAAATTGTAACATTTTAAGAGAATATCACAATATCCTTGAGATGCAAGTAGGGAGCAGGGAGTCCCAGTCACATTTCCATAGGTAAATCGCAGGCAGTATCCTGGGAAGGGAAATAACATTACAGATAATCACAGGGTGGAGTATGTGAGTCAAAGAGGTAGATAAGTTCTAAGTTGAACCCCAAAATGAAGTCTCCTAGCTCCATGCTGAATCCTAAATGTAAGGCCCATATAAATCTCCTAGTAATGAATACCTTGTGGGGAGGAAAATACTACTCATTATTGATGTATGCTTTTGGAGATTAAGGAGCCCAAAAGTGCTAGGAAATTGTCATTTTATTCATAGGCCAGTGAATGAACTTAGAAGTAGCTATAGAACAAGAACCAGTTCACAGTTCAGGACCAGAAAAGCTTCGTTCCCCAATTAAGCTAAGATTATTACTCTTGTCAGAACTATAAATGATGTGATGCAGCCAATACAGATTCCTTTACATCAGGAACAAAGGTGAAGGGATTTCATCAATGTAACTCACCTATAACAATCATTTTTATTTTGAAATAAAGCAGTAAATAGAGTTGACAATTATTTCAGATAGTAACATACAGGAAATTAGATCATGACTTTTAGCAAAGAGTAATATTAAAACTTTCTATTCCATATGGATGTCACCAAAAGGAATTGTGATTTCAACCAAAGCTGCTAGGCTTTGAATGACATATGGAGTAGCCTTTTTTTTAATACAAATACTTATAGCAGTGTTATTCTTGCCTTCCACATTTTTCCTGCCATAATGATTTTAAGCATGAACATAGTTTGAGGGTCAACATGAATTTCAGATATATTATTTGTGCTTGGGTTAGCAATATAATTTGACTCATAAAATTAGCAGATTTAAATCTACTATTCATTGAAGACCCATCTACATTACAATATATATTTTTGATTTGCATGCTAATTCTGAGATTGATGTTTAGTTTAAAGTATAGTTTTTCACATCCACTTGGAAGTGAATTTAGCCTTTTATACATGGTGCAGATTAGAAAAGGGTTGATTTCCTGATTCTATTGTTATAGCATATTTTAAAAGAAAAATATTTGAGATGAAAATTGAAGTAAAAAATTGTTTAATGTTATTTTATGTAACTATTAATATATTACATAAATGGATGTTATACCAAGTATGCAAAAGCAACATAATAAATCTTAATTGTATATTATTTAGTGTCCCCTTGGACAATAAAATGTGCTTTAAATCAGAGACTTTCACTGTAGCTGTTGGAGTAAAAGCTGAGCAAAAGGTATCCATCCTGGAATATTCCTTATAATTCAGTAAACCTGTTTATTTTTGTGAGGAATAAAATTTCAAATAATCTGGGGAAGATACAGTTTGGGATATTTATTTTGTTAATAAAATATCTATTTCAAGCAGTGCAAATTAGCAGTCTGAATAGATGTGTTATATTGCAACATACTTAGAGCTAGAGAGAGAAATTTTGCCTTTCCAATTTCCTTTCCAATTTAAAAAAGTAAGTTGCTTCATGAGGATGGTTTAGATTACCTGGAAGCAGTCCACATTAATTGATACGATAGGTTATTTTCCCTTCCTCTTTGGCTCTTTGCGAAAAAGAGGACTGGAAGGGCTTTGCGCAGCTAGGAATAGAAGCACTAGTCTCACATAATCCATATACAAACACTTCTCAAATTTATTTACTAAATAAGGTAATGGGGAAGGTATTGTGCAAATTCCTCTGATAACCTTTCCTGCTGACAAAGACCTTCGTGAGGTTAGTGAAGTAAGCCAATTATGAACTATTGTTAGCATTTGACAGAAAAGGTGATGAGTGTTTCAACTCAGAGTTTTCAGTAGAATTTGGAGAAATGAATTGCAGTGACTTTAAATAAAATTAATGCTGTGTTTTTAATTTAGTAATAGATAAGTAACTTTATTGGCAACTGGCAGATCAGTGCTACACCTTAATTATTGGTAAGTTTGTAAATTGCAATTCTGTTAGAGTAAAATGGTCTCATTCAGTTACACATTTTTATTTTATATTTCATTCACATATGTTCTTTGCATTCATTGATGCAAAAACCAGTGTATGCTACACCAAGAACAATTAATAAGACTGGCAAATTATTATATAAATAATGCATTCTCATTTCATCAAAGAAGAAACAAATATATAATGCATATTCTAATGGAATAAGATATCTTTAGAGTTTTTTATAATTCCTTTTTATTTACTATTTTCATACTACACTAAACAAACATATCAACATGGCTGATTTCTGCAGAAGCACAGCACACTAGCAACAAACTTCAGTGGTAACAAAGGAAACGCTGTGGGGGTGAAAGCATTCCAAAAGCACCAAATTGTCAGTGCTCCCAAAAATATGAATATGTAGAAAAAAGAATAAAGTAGATACAGATACAAACCCAAATAACTCAGCATCTTAACACCACACAGCTGCTTCAATTTAACTGCAGTAGTGGCATTCAGGTTAAACAATGGAATACAAAAGTCCATCTATGCTTCTGAGAGGCGGCAGGGGGACGTGCTGCCCCAAACTTATCAGTAGCCCATCTCTTTGAGAAATGACTATAAAATGTTACATTTATGCAAAAAAAGGGAATTCTAATAAATCTATTAAAATATCAAACACATCTTTCTACCAGTTTAAACATACCATGTATTAAAGGAGGGAGAAGTCTTGCTGGCAATGGCGCAACCCAGTTTTAACAAGAATTTAGTCATCAGAAGTCTCTACCAATGGTCTCCTGATCAGATCTCTTATTTTAATAAGGCAAACAATTAGCAGTCTGAATTCAGAAAATATACCATTTCTTCTTGTGGGTAACTGAGTTTTGCTGGGAACAGTTAATACCTTGTCCTCTGTTCCTTCATCCATGAAGTGTTTGATTTCCCTAAATTCTTTCCCCTAGTCTTGTCATGGAGTTCATATAAGAAAAGAAGATAATCTCATTCTCTTCATAGAAGAGTTCTTTTTATATTCTTGGCAACCTTTAATACTCATTCACACTCCCTGACATCAGTCAATGTGATAATGAAGATTCTCACCATTCTCCTTTACCACCTGATCTCCTCATAGCACAAACTGAGGGTAATAATTTCTCCACAGAACATAGTTCTTCTTTAATATTTAGGGTGTGTATGATTTTCAGAATGAGTTTTCCGTAAAAATTACTGGATCAGGATATTTATCCACTAGGATCCCAATTACCCTTATATGCTGGGATCCCATTAACCCTTACATTTTAACAATTAGCAATTTAACATGCCTCTCCCACCACACACAAAATACTTTTAATCACTGATTTAGCTGAGCAGCTTCCACTGAATAAGTTGAACAATGTGCATAGAACTGGAAGGAACCTCGAGAGGTTATCTAGTCCAGTCCCCTGCACTCATGGAAGGACTGAGTATTCTCTAGACCATCCCTGATAGGCGTTTGTCTAACCTGCTCTTACTCTCCAATGATGGAGATTCCATAGCCTCCCTAGGCAATTTGTTCCAGTGCTTAACCATCCCGACAGGAAGTTTTTCCTAATGTCCAACCTAAACCTCTCTTGCTGCAATTTAAATCCATTGCTTTTTGTCCTATCCTCAGAGGTTAAGAAGAACAATTTGTCCCTCCTCCTTGTAACAACCTTTTATGTACTTGAAAAGTGTTATCATGTCCTCTCTCAGTCTTCTCTTCTCCAGTCTAAACAAACCCAGTTTTTTCAATCTTTCCTCACAGGACATGTTTTCTAGACCTTTAATAATTGTTGCTCTTCTCTGGACTTCCTCCAATTTGTCCACATCTTTCCTGAAATGTGGTGCCCAGAACTGGACACAATACTCCAGCTGAGGCCTAATCAGCACGGAGTAGAGTGGAAGAATTACTTCTTGTGTCTTGCTTACAACACTCCTGCTAATACATCCCAGACTGATGTTTGTTTTTACAACAGTGTTACAATGTTGACTCATTTAGTTTGTGGTCCACTATGACCCCCAGATCCCTTTCCGCAGTACTCCTTCCTAGGCAGTCATTTCCCATTTTGGGTGTGCGCAACTAATTGTTCCTTCTTAAGTGGAGTACTTCACATTTGTCCTTATTGAATTTTATCCTATTTACTTCAGATCATTTCTCCAGGTCATTATGAATTATAATCCTATCCTCCAAAGCACTTGCAACCCCTCCCAGCTTGGTATTGTCTGCAAACTTTATAAATTTACTCTATGCCATTATCTAACTTGTTCGCTGCTATCTGCAGTCACTCCTAGTCTCTGCTAATCCATTCCTTTTAATTGGATAGTCTGAATGACATCGCCTCCAACTTCCCCTCTGCGAATGTCAAGGAAGCTTGTAAACTCACCTTGCTAAGTAGCAGTTCCTCCATCAGTTTCTTTCTAGAGCTATCTTTATCCACAGTTGACATCTGTGTGATGACAGCCAGAGAAGGAGTCAAAGATGGCTTCTGGGGAACTGGAATTGAGGTTGAAGGTCTCAAATTAAAAAAGTCATTTATTTCTGGTTTAGTTTTGCTCTTAGGCATTATTCACAGCTCTTCTCTCTCTTCAAACAAAAGGAACAGTGGCCCCACTAAAGAAAATCCAAAGTTATTGAATGTGCTAGACTTAGTAAATATTAACTTTGGCTCTCAGAGCCCATCTACAGCATGTCTTTCAACAAAATCAGGCTCCCCCTCTTACCTCCACCGTGTTTCCCTTTTTTCTTCATTTACCTCTCCCCTCACAATGTATTCCTGCTAATGACAGCCTCTTCATCACATGTAGCTTCGTGGTTTTCAGTTTGATTTCAACTCTTCTCCTACAGTCAGTTCCGTCTGTGATAACTAGTAGTGAGAATGCAACCAATAACAAAATATTAATTGCTAATAATGTACAAAATATCACATGACCAAACATGTGGTCTAAGGCTAGGCACAAAGTCTCAAAATGTACATTAAAATATATGTATTAGCAGGAAAAATGCTCTGAAATAGGTCTCCACAAATTACATATACAGATCTTGATTTACATTACAGGGAATTTTCTGGGAATACCAGAATATCAGTTTTATATCTCTCATGTCAGGGAGGTTTACATTCTCAGAATTTCAATCCAAGGCAAACCTTTCTATGTTAAGTCTCTACCTAACTACATTTTTCATCCAACATGGGTTCAGACTATTTGTACTCATGTAACTTAAAACCAAATTTGATTTTCTTAAAGTTTAGATTTGCCAAAGGATTAGTCCTTAGTGTATTCTTAAAAGATGTTGGAATTGTGGACGACAAAGGGCCAAATTTCAGTTTAAAGTAAAAAGGCATCATTCACTGACTTCAAAGGAAGTTGCTCCCTCTCCCTTGGGACTAAATTTGACCCAAAAAATTTAAGCTACTAATATAGTTCACACTGAAAAGTGAGCATAGCTTATGCAACTGATATTTTATTATGATTTGGCTTTATTTTTATGGTTCTTATAATAAAAAAATGGGCTAGAGACATCAAACAAATAAATGCAACCTTTACTGTTCTTCACTGTATAAAGTCCTCAGTTTGCTCACTGTATAAAGACCTCCGTTTGCTAGTAAAAAAGGATATAAAAACACATAAGTGTTAGGACAATTAACCAAAGGCCAATTAAACACAGAAAAGTGCAAATAAAGCAATTTAGTCAGTGTCAGTGTACAGCAAAATATTCACATTGACCTCAATAGACAAGCCTGTCCTAATAGCATAATTTAATTTTAGTAAATTATAATCAGTCTCTCTCTCTGTCTCTTGTCTAATGTGTGAGAGAGAGAGAAATTAAAGCACTCAGGTGTACTTGCTGCTATGATGGTACCACTACACTTCCATGTCAGCCAGCCATGATACTTACAATCATTACTAGCATCACAGTGGCTGGCCCTTGTGTTCCAAAAGCACTAATTTCACAGCTAGATGACTGAGAATTTCTGTGGCTGTACTACTGTGATGTGAATGTTTTCCTTAGACCACAGTTTTAACACTAAATACATGGTTAACTTTACACACATGGGTAGCCTCATTGAAATCAGGATGCAGGCCTAAATCCATGTACAATTTAAGCAGAAAACACTACTATTTTATCTCCTCCTCCCCCCAATATGAGACTTCTGTTTTAAAAGACATTATTTTACATCTCTGACCTAGAGTTATTACTCTACAAGTATTGTCCCTGACTTCTGAAATAACCATATCTTTTACCACAATGGAAGTCAGAGCATTGATCAAATTCTGAGAGTAATAATCCTTGTTTAACTAGAGAGTTATCTGAGATATTTCTGCTAGAATGTTTTTGTCATGTTTGAAGAGGAAAGGGGGCTTTGTTGTTGTTGTTCTTAATCTAAAATGGATTCTAATAGCAAAGAGACTTTCACAGAGATCATCCCCTTTAACCCCAGCAGCAAAGCCCAGTACAGTCAAATTACAGTTTGTGTGGTTATTTTCAAGAATTTCAATCTTATGGTATAACCTTGTATTACAGTATCTCTTATCAGAGTGCTAGAAAGAGCGTTTAAAATTATTAAACTGTTTGAATTCTCTGGGCACTGTCACTTACAGTTTTAATATCACCTTAAAGTACTACAATTTTTCCTTCTAAACTGGCTAACAGAGTCAATCTTTTACTCTACTTCTTCCTCCAGTAATCTTATAGGGTCAAATGCTTGTTCTTGTACATAGCCTGAGTATTCAGGTTGTGCACAGGGGAGATCTGGATGAATCCAGAAGGAATTTCCAAACCAATTTTATAGACCTAATAGATTTAGAAAAGCATCTAACTATTGGATGTTTATCCTAACTTGAATTTTGAACCTTTTTAGGGTTACACAAAGCTAATCTTTATTTATGCACTGATTGAGAAGCGCAGTTCTAAAGAATGCATACATGGAATGTATTTTTAATCAGGATTTTATAAAACATTGCATTCAACAAACTAAAGGTAGACAAGAATTGAAGCTGATTATCTTGTATAGATGTATTCACCAATGTTAAGTATATTGTTTGATAATATATTATTTCTCTCTATCCAAGTGGCGTCAACAGGGTTTTGCTCAATATCAGAACAACTTAAGGGAGTGGTTTGGTTGTTCCTTTCAGAGTGTGCGTCTGCCTTTTGAGATAATTTCACTACTATATTAGGAATTTCCTCTGAGAAAGGAAATATTCTCTTTTTTCCTGGAGAGAAAAGCAAATTCTATAGTTCAGACAGAAGCTCTTTGAAAAGACTGGACAAGTTCTCTTAGCAGTAACCCCTTCTAAGAGCAGGCGTGAAGATCTTATCTTGAGAATCAATTTTAAAAGAGTATTTTCTGAGCATAGACTCAAATCCTGCAAGTAGTTATGCACATGCTTACCTTAAAAAACAAAAGGAACTACTAACCTGACTACGGTTAAGCATGTACATAAGTGTTTGAAGGAATAGGGCCATGTGATGGAGTGTATAAACCCTATACTGCCAGGGAAGGGGCTTGGGAGACTGGGTGCTAAAATAGCCCCGCCCCTCTGGTGCTATCAATCATGCACGGTAGAGAGGAGGGCTATAAAAGGAGGAAGCTGCAGTACACAAGGGGAGAAATCTTCAGAAGGGATTGACTAGAGTAGCTCTTGGAATGGCAGGAGGAACCCTCATGCAAGAAACTGCCCAGCTCTATAAGGAGTCTGGCAATCCTCAGGGGTAAGGCTTGTAGGGAGAGTCTGACCTGGCTACTAGCCATAAAGACTCCAGCAAAGCTGCTACCCAGGCACCCCTGAAATAAACTAGTGCCTCAGGCTTTTTGTTGCCTTGTTATTGACCCCAGGAGGGGCTCAGTTTGTGTTGACCTAAACTTTTGCTTTTCCCCCACCCAGAGGTAAAGTAAACAGGCCCCCAAGGGTGGGGTCACTACCAGGAAAGAGGCTGTGACCTGTACTAGGCCAACCCTGTGATGGAAACTGGGCATGGTGAGGGCCCCCAACCCAACTAGGGAGGTGCATCAAAGATACTCTTTAATGTAATGTAGAGTGAGATCGCTAATAATTATTGCATAACTACAATCCATAAACGCAATTTCTCTAAATGGAAATGGAGAAAAAAATTTGAGAACATTTTACTGTATTTTAAGACATTGCTTTCAGTGATATGACAAAATCTTCACAAGATTAGAACTTCTGTTTTTTCCCCAATTTTTGTATTATCTTAGCAAAGAGAGATTATGATAGTCCTGACCTGATGCAGGCAGGGTACTCATGATATTTAGTTGATGAAGCCGATACTGTGAGTGGTGTTTGGCAGACACAGTTGGTGTTAAGTCCAATTAAAGTTGTCTTCAAACAGTTTCATTCCATCATTATTTACCATTCATAATGAATTAGTTCATTCAGTAGCTATAGTTTCCTTAGGTGCATTGATGTGGACACAGCTACAAAACAAGGACAGACACATGCATGGAATTAAGCAGCAGACCGCAACTTTTATTAAACTTTTAGCACAAGGGAGGGGCACTGCCTTCCCATCACCTATACTCTCGTCTACCAGGCATTTAATTGGTTCCAGTGCAGGGGTTTGAGGGCTCTGTATGATATGACCCATAACTTGGAGCCAGGATTACAGAGCTTCTTACCATATAACCCATAAAGTGATGTGGGCTCTCCTCAGCTCTGAGTCCTACATCCTCCCACCTCAGAGGAGGGACAGAGGGTGCAGCAGGGTGGGGACCTTGGCCCGCAGAGGCCACAAGGTCTCACCCTACCACATGAGCTCAAGGCCCATCCCAAAAATCCCAGATCTTTTGCCTCTGGAAACCATTCATTTTATTCTCTTAACTGCACTGGCAACCAGCTGTGAATTGTGACGAGTAAGCAACACCACCCCAGTACCTCAGCTAGGTACCATGCACATTCCTAGTTTACCCACTGTGGCTTGCAGGTGCTGCGAGAAAGGCAAAAAACTCCCCGGTCCTCTGCTAATTTGGTCCATGGGAGAAAAAATTCCTTCTTAACCCCCCTAAACAGGCAATCATCTAGACTCACAGCATCTGTCGAACCTGGTTCCCGTTCCTAGTTCGGGTGGGCAGGGCGGGCTTCTGGAACAGAGCCAGAAGAGCTCTCCACATGGCCTCTGCGCGGGGCTAAATCCTAGGAGCTGAGGAATGTTGGCCAATCAGCAACCCTCTCCCAGCTGGCCAGTGGGTGCCAGAGACTCCCATGGGAGAAACTACCTATTGTAATTGGCAACTGCCTCCTTCCCTAACTACTGGGTGTCCCCACATCTCCATCAATATCCCCCACCTGTTGATGCGAGTGGGTAGCATTTGTCTACTATGCTGCTGGAGTTTCTCTTTGAGACTATCTTTTAAAGGTTTCCTTTGTCCACTTTGGGTTGCTTTTCTGTCTACTCACTTTGATGTGTGCTTCTTATACATTTGTAGGATATGACCTAGGTGAATCTTCCTGGGGCTAGTTCACTCCAGTACAGGTAATTCTGGTTATTTTATCTTATCACTTTAACTGATGAGTAACAAAAAATGTGTTTCATATGGAAACTAACATTTTGATGTTTTACGGATAGCAAGCCCATGTCTCTGTGCCATTCCTTAGGGTGGAAAACACAACTGCATTTTAGTTAGATTTTTGAGCACAGTTGAATAATGTTTCCTTCACATAGCTGTATAGATGACCAAATGGAGAACTGGTTTCCTGTGTATATGATGTCATGCCCCCATACTTGGGAATGTAAGTAGTGAGGACCCTTATAAAACATATTTTGGTCCCCACATTTAGCTCTTGTACCATTAATCCTAACATTTGATCTAAGAGTGGACCTTATCCTTCAACCTTTATTCACATCAATAATCCTTAATCACAGGAGTTGTCCCCTATTAGTCAATATGATTAAGGACCAATGGATCAGCCCCATTTTTCAGTGCTGGTTGGTACAGACTTGAAATAGTCTGCAATACTACTAATCAAATCAAAATTTTCCAAGGCATTTGGACCAGCACACAGAGTACAAATTGCACCTCCTTGCAACCGCAAGGGCCACTATGTTCTAGCGATAACGGGAAGAGTCGTCTCTGGTACAGACCCAGGGCCGGCTCCAGGCACCAGTGAACCAAGCAGGTGCCCGGGGCGGCAAAGGTAAAGGGGTGGCAGGCTGTCGGGCTCTGGGGCGGTAATCTGCCCTCAGCAGCGGTGGGAATTCGGCGGCCGCTCCGTCAGTGGGTTGTATTGTTACTGTTCCCCTCCCACAAAAGTTTCTGAGGGAGAGCAGCTACAGTTTCTATCAGGCCCTCCAGCAAAGGCTGCACTGGGAATGTGCTACAATAGTGCCTCTCCTGACTACTATGGCCACACCCCCTCCCAGCCCAGAACTACTCATCTGGGGCTGTACTGGCACCTTACAGGCGTCCCAATGGAGGGCCCCAGTATATACTGGTTTATGCAGACAGCCTAGAAAGCAATAATGATTACAACAAACTGGGGTGATAGTGGGCAATAAAAGAGTTTGCCGTGTGATATACAAAACAGCCAATGCAGATTTAGGCTACGTATGCCAAGCACATCATAAGGCAATGAAGTAAAGTTGTTAACATATGGTTATGGTATAGCTGTACTTGAACATCGTATTCAGTTCTGGGCATTACATTACCAGAAATGTATTGACAAATAGCAGGCAGTTTAGAGAAGAGCAACAAAAAATATATTGACAGGTTTCAGAGTAGCAGCCGTGTTAGTCTGTATTCGCAAAAAGAAAAGGAGTACTTGTGGCACCTTAGAGACTAACCCATTTATCTGAGCATAAGCTTTCGTGAGCTACAGCTCACTTCATCGGATGCATATATATTATGCTGGAGGACGGACTTCTGAAGAAAGGCTAAAAGAGCTAATAGCTTTGCTAAGGCAGGACATAAGTTTATGAATATTTTGAATGCTTTAAGCAAAGAGAAATTATGTAGAATGCTACCAAGGGACTATAACTATGAGTAATGGGATGAAACTAAGAAAAGGAAATTTTAGGCTAAATATAAGGTAAAACATTTCTTGAGATTATGATGTATCAAACTGCAGAATTATCTCCCAAGGGAAGAGATAGGAGTCTCATTACTTAGGACTTTTAAAACTAGACAATATGAACAGTGGAAAATGTACCATAGGGAACAGTTATGTCTCAGCAGAGAGATAGATTTGATAATCTAAAAGGTCTTTCTCCATCTCCAGTTTCTATTATTCTGTTTTTATGTAAACAGAAAGATGCTTAGGTCTATCACCAAAAGAGAAAATCTTCACTTTCATCATCAACCTGATATGATTTGTTTTAATCTCTGAGATGAAATTAAGTCAACATCAGTCATGCCTTAGCTAACCTCAGGAGAAAGCTTAGGCTGAGCTTTATGGCTTTTGTTTATGTTACCAATAAATCCCTATGAAGGGGGTAAATTTGAAGCATATGTAGTGCATGAGCACTTTGTGTGGAGCAGAGTGGAATTATATCAAGCCCAGTGGACTCAGGATGTACTCAGACGTGAGCACCAGAGTGCTTAGTCAAAACTGACTTATTGCACACAAAAGGACTGCATCTCTATGCAGGTCCTGGAACCTGACCCCTCTGACAAGCACATTTTCTCCTAGGGCTTTTCCTCATCTAAAGGACTCATCCAGGAAGTGATACATATATCTGGAGAAGGTGTTGGCTGCATTAGAGTTGTTTATTTTTATTATTGGAGCAAAAAGAGGAAATATAACATGACATGTTGATTATGACTACTTATGCAAGAAGAAACAGGGCATGTCAGTCCAAATAAATGAGTGTAACTTATTTTATTGTTATGATTACTGTATTTTTTTCCCCGGAAAAGATACTGCTAGGAAAAGAGTTAAAGTGCAATAAATTAAACTAGTGTAAGGTCACAAAATCTCCATGTAATAACCTACCATCTCATGAAAATGTAGTCCCTATAGAAATCATAGCATAAAATTGATGATACTATTTAAATGAACATTAGGGCTATATGTTTTGCTCCCTACTCTAAGCCAATTAACAAAGAAATGCTAGTTGGTGCCAGCAACAACTGTCCTCTTTGACATGAAGGAGGGGGCAGGGAATACTTGATGTATATGCAGGTGTTACTTATTTCTGTTTGAAGACAAATGCACTTTATATGCAGTTAGAATTCCTGCCAGCCTGTAAGTGATCAGCAGGAGGAAGAAAATACCATAGATGCTTTAAAGAACAGCTGTGGAAGACCGTGTTTCCATATCTTTTATGTAAGATCTTGATAAAATTCTGCAAGTGGTTGACGGTATAAAGATAAATTCCATTAGCATTATAGGCTTGCACCAGGCATTTGTTTTTATCCTACTCTGGCATTTAATTGAACTCCATCCAACTTAACACAACTGCAGTTTTCATTTGAACTTCTTTAGAGAAGTTATCTATTCAGCTGCCAAAGCCTGTCATTACCATAACACTAGAGACCCTCACAGATTAGAAAAGGGTTCCTTATCCCACAAGTTTTGACATTTCTCAGTCTATTAGAGACTCTGTCTGGATCCTGAGTGGTGCTGATCTCTTGGAACTCCCATAGACATTGGTGGAAGCTGATGCTTTTGGGGTTCATCCAAACCAGTAAGGGGTTGCTTTGTAATCCTGGGTGCTTCTGTGCTTTGCAGCTTTGGCTCAGAGCTCTGACACCAGCAGCCAGTTTACAGCACAGTGACCTCACCCTGGCTTCCACCACCCTGGTTACTCCTTGCAGGGTGACACCAACAACCCCTCCAGTCCCAAGTCTCCCCAAAACCATCTCCTCTGCTGTGCTCAGCCTGTCTCACTGTATCACTTAGAAAATTGTATTGAGTTTGCTGGTCCTTTAAAGAGACAGTACATGGCACCAACCTATTAGTTCAGATGAAGATTTTACTGTTCACTTTGGAACACTACACTGAGATGGTTGTATAATAAGACAAGATTAAATTTATTAACAAAGAAGAAAAATTTAAGTGATACCAAGTAGAAGGAATTGAGATAGAAATTGTTGCAAACAAAAATAGGTTTTAGTCTTTTTTTCAGACTAATTTTCTCACTAGGATCCAACACAGAACTCAAAGCACTTGGTTCTTTTATCTCTTCAGGTAAAAGATGCCAAAATGGCTCTCTACCTCTAATATCCTCAACATTTATCTTTGTTTTCCAAGTCAGGAAGCCCTCCTAGGGGCTTACCTTGCTGTGTCCGCCAGGGAGCTGATACCATGTTAATTTTTGCAGTCTCCTTCCCATATTGTGATAGAGTGGCTATTTCCCTCCTCTCACTAGTTTGATGACTGTGTTTACTTTTTATGTAAATGTACTTTCATTGTGTCTTTGTTCAGTTTACATTGAAGACACGTTCAAGCAGGCAGGACCACATTCCTTTATCTAGGGTGA